TAAAATAAAAGGGCATGAAAACCCTGAGGCAGCGAACCAAGAAAACATATAGATAGGAAAGAATTAGCTCTCGACTTCAGTGTGCTGCAGACTCTTACATGCAGGTGTCATATCACCTGATTTAGTAAAGCCCTTGTCACATGAGTAAGTCTTCAGCTGCCTTTTTAGGATGTGCTTCACTGACAGTGAATTCAAAAAGGGCAGCAGTGCTAGTGCCAAAGATTATCTAGCTTCAAGTTTTACTGCATTAGTTCCCATAGCACTCCAGCCTGTGTCAGGGATGCAAGGTAAGCAAAAGAAGTTTGATACTAATTATGTAAATACACTGAGTAAACTAAAAAGTGCAGTTTTCACAAAGACAATTCTTGGCATTTTGGTATTTGCTGCTCTGAATCTGTAGAGATCACTGACACAAAAGATGCTGACCAGTGCCTTGAGTGAGCTTTATACACACTTTACAAAGATTCTGGACAATTTATACAGGAAACACAGGTATACTGCCACCTCTCACCACATCAAGAGGCATGAAAAAACAACTCTCAATTTTCACCTAATCAACAAATTGCAGCAGACCAACTGTTCTAGAAGGAACACAAGAAATCCAGTCTATTTGCACAGGTCTGTCACCTGCCTTTCTTCAATCTGCCATCCTGACACTCCTTTTTTTAATGGGAAGAGCTTGATGACCAAGAACAGACTGCAGAAGCAGACCCAAGTGTGGCTTTCTTGGCTCATGCTTCCAGCTATTTTCAAGCTGTGGTTCTAGCATTCACCAGACTCAGAAAAGCAGGTTCATGCACACTGTCATTTTCAGCATTATATCTATGTCTGTTATCACTCTTGGTTTCCTTATGATCAGCAGCTTTTCCTCTACATCTTTCCTTTTTTAAAGCATTTTCTCCTCATGGTGGTCACTACCTGCCTTCTGTTATTACCTTTAGTTTTTCAGCTCAAGCTCTCATCAGTTCTGTGGTTTCCTCATGATGTGGTTCAGTTGAAGAGAAAAAACAGAAACAGCAGCAACACAACTAACATCTCAGGCAGATACATTTGTGTTTATATTGAGCTGCCTTCTCAGAACCTGTCACAGACAATAAGTGGGCACTCCACTGCAGAGGCAGGCAGATGTTTTTGACAACTGTCAATTCAAGTAAAAAAAAAATAACATATTCTGAATACAGAAATATGTTTGAAACAGAAGTGAGGAAAGTGCTAAAAAGCATATTGGGTGAATCCTTTCTTAAGACCACACAGAAGTTGAGAGCAACACGAGTCTGCAGTGGATGTGCAGTTGGTAGTTTAAACATGTCACTGGAAAAATGCAATGTTCCTTATCAACCAAGGGTAACTGTAAATAATTTGTTGCTTCAGCTGTTAAGGCTTTGTGTTTTTTCTGGTTTGCCCTTTCAAATCCTCTATCCCCTCCCACATACTGCTATTTTTATATATAGCCAACGCTACCAGATGTCACATTGTCACCTGCCACCAATATACCAACCATCCCTTTCTGATGGGGTTTTTGCTACTTTTAATCTTTACATTGTATCTAAGGTTTCTGGCAATAGGGAAGATAGGAAGTAGACAAAGAGGTGTTAAAAAACAAAGTCTGAACTAAGACTCCATAAATGTAAACAGTTCTTCCACCACATTTTTAGTGTATGTGATAAAATAAGCTAAATAAGCTAAGGGTAACAGTCATATATACTGACCTCTCTCAAAAAAACCCCAACAAATCAAACCCAAAACCAAAAGATTTAAAAATAAAAATAAAAATAAAAAATACAGTTATTGAAAAGGGCACCATTACCCTGCTATGGGACCAGTTTTTGTATGTTTTTAGCAACAGAAAATATTAATAATTTGAAAAACTGATCAGGTTTGTCAAATGGGGAAAAGGCCATTTAATTTTTTTCTTCTTTTTGTTCTTTACCGTGTGACTCCAGTGTCGTCAGTCCCAAAGAACAGCATCTGTCAAAATTATATGTATCATTCAATAAATATAAACATAAAATGAAATGTAAACAAGTTCACAGATGAAAAAAGAAATTAGGGAAACATCTCTGGGCTGCAGAACAAAAATCCTTAGAAGACACCCTTTTCAAATATTTATCCAATTACCAAGCATACATGACCAAACAAGTGGCCCACTGGCTCAACATACAAAAGCAATTCCTTAAGACAATGATGCTTGAAGGGACAGGTTTATCACATTTCCCAAACCTTTTTGTTTCTGAGCCAGTGACCAAAGCAATAATGAAAACCTTAACCCAGAAAACATTTACATCAAATTTAGTTCTAGGTTCTGAAATGAAAAACACAATGGATTTGTGCTGTTAATTAAAACACTACTTGGTTTTTCTCACCCCCTGGGTGATTCTCCAACCTTGCAATGGTATTTTCCATACAGTAATGCTTAAAAAAACTACACTAAACACAACATAATCCTAAAGAACAATTAATTTTTAATTACATGGTATAGAACACCTTGTAAACAAAAGACACTAGGTAATTTTTACTGACAGGTACTGTATTTTTTTGGCAACTGTGGAACAAACCAGAAGAAAAAACAAATAATTATTCTATAAGCATGAGGGAAAGAAACATCCATCTAAATGGGGAGGATTCATATGGCAAAACTCAAACTAAAGAAAAAATCCACACTTAGAGCAGATTTTTTTTTTTTAATTCTTAGTGCAAGAAACATAACCAAGTTAATCACAGAATCAATACTAATTAAGAATATGGAAAATTCTCCTATACAGAGGTAGAGTCCAGTGCACAAGGCTAAAACGATATTCAATAGTCTAAACAAGACTGAGCCAGGTTTTACGGAATCCACTTTTTAAAGTATCAGACTGTATGTACATACATACAATAAATAGACTATACAATCTTTAGAGTAGTTTAATAAACTTCACAAAAATTATAGTAGATGCATTGAGATCTTTACATAATCCAAAGTTCATACCTCTATCACCCAGAAATGGATAAAACCGATATTCCTGATACCAAGTCAAATGGAAAAGTTTAGCAAAGTGTTGATAAATCAAAATATTTTACATATTTGTAAAGTCTAAATTTATGCTTATAAAGGATGGATTTCAAATGCTCTGAAAATGTTCCTTTTGATACCATCTGTAAAGAGGTTTCAAATGCTGTGATTTGCATTTGTATTGTTATAGTTTCCTTACATTCCATGTTCATGGGAAAAATGAACTTGAGATACTCACAGTTCTGATGCAATGGCACAGCAAGAAGTGATGAGAATCAGATTATTTTAAAGGCCCAAAGGACATCAGGAGAATTTATGGACAAAACCTTCATGTCTCCAACTACACAAATCACATTAGAAAGTTAACAAAAAACTGTTTGGTAGTACTACTTCAATCCTGTCAGGGCCTCTCCGCCTGGAGGCAGGGATTAGCACTGCACTGGAAATCAAGTGTGCATCTGGGGGCCCTCAGGTTTGCTACAAGCCCATAGGGCTTAATAAAACAAATATGGAATCTTTATGGTTTACCACAATAGTGCATAAATCAGGGGTGTCTGTTGCTATTCATTGCAGTGATAGTCACAAAGGAAGGATTTCAGGGAACTGAGACTTTTCAGCTACATCTCTGTAAAGTGTGCAAAAAAATGGGGAAAAAATATCACCCTGGGGCATTATAAAGCAAATATGTTTATAATGACAAGTTATTTTGTATAAAAGGTTCTTACAAATTCCAAGAGGGCAACAGTCACAGTAAGAGGGAACTAGTAACAACAACAAAGAGCTTTATATTAATCAGTGTTGAAAATTACGTTCACAGTTTGGTTACTTTTAATTTCTATAAGCACCTATGCTGAAAAACATGAGGGTTTGTATTTTATCTTGAAAATCAAATCTACTTGTGACAAATACTTTTTTAAGGTTTCCATTCTTCTCTTCTACAGGCCTTCTCACTGGAACAATTTTTTTATTATTTTTTATTTTATACAAACAGATTCACTTTGATTTAAAGTAAACATATAAACACTGAGAATATTGCTTGCAACAATGGACCTGGAGGTGAAGGAATGAATTTGTCAGGCCACACACAAAAAAAACTATCCCACAAAATGAATTCTGCTAAACTTCTGATGCTATGAAAACTTGCAAAAAGGATCACAAGATCTGTTGCAAATTTCAGAGATTTGGCCCAAGTCTTATCATCATCATCTGAATACTTTAATAACTGTATCTTTATAGTAAGGAAAAATAAATGATTCCAAGAACTCAGGAAGGCACACACACCCAAGTATACTATAAATAAAACACATCATGAAATTATGAAGATCTTCTGATCCCTGTACACACTTTTGGTTCAGCACTATGGTCAAGTTCTCCTTTTTGAAATACAATAAAAGGCATACAAGAAATATAACATATGCATAATAATTATAAAGAATAATGCTAATAAGACAGCTTACAGAGAAAAGTGCAGTGAAAAAACCCAATGCTATTTATTCAGGGGCTTGTGCTACTGTAAATACAGACTTTATATTTGCTGCTGTGCAAGGGGAAGAATTTATCCTGGGAAGCAGCAATGAGGAATGCAAAAAAACCAAAACCAAATGAAAAAAGACATAAAGAGAAACCTTCAGGATAGAACCCTCCCAACTTCATTCCTCTTGTGCACAGTTATCTGACTACATGGTTTGTTTTCATGCTGCCATTTCTCTTCATGACTACAGCATATTAGAAAATGGCACAGTTCTTAAATATTTTTCTGCCTCTACTTCATTTTTTTTTGTTTCTTCTTCCAAGCACCTGATTTGCTGTTTCCTCATAAGAAGTGTAAAGCTGTTAGCCAAAGTGAGAAAAAAATCGTTGCCCATCCTCTCTCCCAAACACTGATCTCTCCATTTCTCCTTCCACTAGGTATTTCACTCGTGTGCTACACAATGGGGAGGCACTGTAAAGGCAGCTTGACAGATTTAAAAATAAAAAAAATCAGAAGTCTTTTTTCTTTAGCCCCCCACCCCCAGCCCAGCCCCAAAAAATGGATGGATGAAACAGTACGTCCGTAGGAGTATTCCAGCCTCCTCTGTTAGGAGATAATAGCAGGGGACCATCTAACCACAGTCAGATTGTCAGCACTGACTGACCGTTTCTTTGCGGCTTTCCTGAAGTCCTTATATTTATCTTCACACAAGCGGGAAATGGCCTGTAAGACAAATGAATGGAAAAACCTCAATTGCATTGACCACATCTGTACAAGTAAAACAAAATAAATGCAGACTTCTGCATACAGGTAGAACTACAGCAAATCACTTCACTGAGCAAAACATGTGAAGAGCCTCTCCCCAAATCCTTGCTTATTTCATTAATCTTAAAAGAAAGAAGCACATTGTGGTTGCCACCACAGCCACTTTGGAAGGCCTGAGGGAGCACATTCCAAGCCTTTTCTCCACAGCTTAACCATCACAAATCGCATTGAAGTAGCTGCCAAATCTTACCCACTGCTATATGGCAAGTCTTACGTAGCCCTTCATTGGTGAAAAATTGTGGAAAACTTAAAAAAAATCTATAGAAATTGCAAGCTTATTTGGAGATGGTATCAAGAAGATGGGTCTTAATTTTTTCACTTCCCAAAAAATCTTGTAGTAATTATATTTTTCTCTACTGATATATGGTCTGGAAGAACACCTGCCCTGCTTTGCTTCCAAAGCTGATGTTTACTTGCCTTTTGGAGGGAGATGGTGATCATGTGATCAGGCTTATATGGTGCCAGTGGGAAATGTAACTCGTATTTAGAGTAATTTAATTTGCATTCAAATACACAGAAAAGCTAAAAACCTTCTCAAGAAAGAGACAAACGTTATTCAAATGTCATCTCCTATCATAGTACACTGGAGTTCAGGGTTTATGTTTCCTCTACTGTTTTTAGCCAAGTTTAAACCAAATATTTATTGTAGCCCTCATACACACAAATATACCATGCCCTAAACCAGCATGTTTGTTAGAGTTCATATGGTTGGGACAGGCTATGGTTGGCATCAGCAGGGATGTTAAGTCTGATGATCAAATATGCAGAACTGCAGAGAAAGTTCACTGCAAGGAGTACTCAAGGTCAAATTAAAAACTACTGTGAACTAAACCAGTATTTTTATTTACTCAGGAACGCTTTCAAGTGGTATCTTAAGATAGGATGTTTAATAAAGAGTACTATACAAGCAAAACTACTACCGAGTGTTTGATTATAAAACAAGGTGACTACAAACAAACAGTCTAACTCCACTGCTCATCATTCTCTCTCTTAATATTTACTTCTACAGTACAGGAAGTTGCAGCAGTGAAGAGACCTTTAGTTTTAATAGTCCTGCAAAGACCTGCGACAGGTATGACAGAAGCACACAACCCATACATCTGAGAGCAAGTTCACCTAATGCTTTGGTCAAAACAGCCATAAAATGTGGTTCAATTAAAATAAAACTAAAACAACACAAAACCACCAAGAAACCAGTTATTACTTTTTAGTTGGAAATGGAATTTCCTTTTTTTAAGACAACTCTTGAATACAGTTTTCTTTCTTGGTGCATATGAAGAGAACATTAGAATAAAATAAATATTCTATTGCTTTGTAGACCATATCTCACTTAAACCTGCTTAATAACATTTTATTTAATTTAACAAGGAACTCAATGGATTAAGAAAGTTCAATGTAATTAAATCAGATTTAAAATCCAATAGATAAAAGCATTTAATCATGAAATGATGATGCCTTGGCATGGATTGGCAAACAGGTTTATTGAGGTGGAGCTCAGCTTCTTTCAGCTTCCTTCAAACAGTGAGAGAAAGTAATCACTTAAAAATGCCCGTTTCACAGGAAAATTTCTATTCTGGCACGTGGTCAGAAAAATGAAATTTTGCTTCTAAGTGGCACTTAATATTTGGCATCTCATCTCTGGTGATTAATCATACGGACTGTTAAAAGTAACGCTATATCTAAAGATGCCTCTTCAATTGCAAAAAATTTACAAAATTGACATTTGGAGCCCATTTGGCAAGTTAGTTAGTCAACTTTAGTGTAATATATGGGGTAACAAAACAAAAGCAGAAAATAATAAATATTTATTATTATCCTTCAGTTAAAATAAATCCAAATAGCTTATAAACACCTTTCTGTCATCTGATGTTTCTGGTTTTGACAGTTGCAAGGGACCATTTCTCATATGAAATCAAAACATTCTTAAAAACAGCAACACTACTCAATCTTGTGGAAAAAATGGACAAACCAGAGAGAACCTAGCAGAGGTAAAGACCACCAAGTCTGCAAGGATTATATATAAAGGATAACGTAAAGGAAAATAAATAATATATATGTATCACTTGAACAACTAGAAATTGTCATGACGGGGGTTCTCCTTAATTTATGGAGAATGAAATGAAGGACAATTGGGAAACTCCTAATAAAAGAGCAAGGGAGTTTTGCTCTTCCCTAGCTTCTTAGCTAAAAGGGTTCTGCACATACCAAACACAGGAGATTGCAATCTATCACTGCGATAGCAGGCAGCTGGAGGGATATAAAAACACTTCTCTACTTGTAATGTACATATTTTCCCCCTCTTTTTTATCTGTTTGATCTGTGGGACTGTACCTTTTTAGGGTCAAGAAAACATGGCACGTAGTTGAAAAGATTTTAACTATGTGCCCGAGCACTATCCTAACAATAGAAAACTCAGACAAGGCACAGTCAGTTAAACTGGGAGTGCACTAATGAAATCTTACAAAATCTAGCCTTGAAGATCACAAGCAGAAATACAGTGGGCACATTTTGTAGACTTACCCCAAAATGCAGAATCTGACTCATATTTAGTTCAGTAAACAGGAGAATAGCCAGGTGAAAGAGTAGGAAATTACAAAATAGTAGATTAAGGTTGGATACCCAACAACCTTCTTGGCAGAAAAATCTCCCATATTAGAAAATAGTTCTCATGAGAAGCAAAGAAAGCCTTGACATTTGATGTAATTAAAAGGAAGGGCAAAACACACTAGAACATATGCTGGTTGGAACAAACAGCATTGGCAGGTGGACAGACTGGATGATCTAATGAAAGGTTAGTTGCCGTTTTTTACTTGAATGATTCCACACAATGGAAAAAAAAAATGCAGGGTGGTCATGAAAATGGTTTCTGGCTACTAGGTGTACCGGTATAACAAAATCAGGACACTTTTAGGCCACAGGCTGATGAAAAGTAAAAAAAATTACCTTTATTTAGTCATCTAAAAGACAAAGCTGCCTAAACGTCAATTGTGGGAACATCAAATAAGGAAAAACATTGACTCCAGAAAACAATGTAATTTTTACAAAGTACTATAACCTCTTATAGCACCTTTAAGCTGCTGGAACAAATGGAAATCCCAGCATTTCCATTTGATGAGGAACAGTATTTATAGGGCTTGCCCTTGGTCTTCCTTTTTATTTGTTTTTTTTAATCAAAGGTGTATCAACCTCGTATTTGCAGAAATAGCAATGCAGATTTTGCCATGCCAGACCTAATACTCCTGCTTTAGATATATAAAATAGCTTGAAAACAAAAAAGTAGAAAAAGCGTGTTATAACCATTTCTCTGTGGAAGACTTGCTGTGAATTCAAATGCCAATAAATGAGTTGTTTTAATTCTTAGGACTGAGCAAGGTCCTTTCAGTTTACCAGACAAAGCAAACCCTTCCACTGTGTGTGTGCATTCGCTAAGTCGACTGCCTGTCGTCACAGACTGCAGCTCTTCTCTCAGTATCATAAATACCATAATCTATTTGCTACCACATCTACTCCATTTGACAATCCAGAAAACTGTTTTAAAAAAAGAGAAGTCTGGGCTGAACATGACAGACTAGGGATAGACCTAGGGAAGTGCTGAAAATGCATTTTGATAACCCTTGGCAAGTAAAATGCTTAACTGCTCAAGGAACTAAGCTATACATTATGCTATCAACTAGATTCATGGGCACATAATGACAGCCAAGTACTGCCAGGGAACAAAGCAGCTCCCATGATGTCCCCTTCCTTCTGGCTGCCAAACAGAGGCCAGGAGCTGGTAGACTAAGTTGGCTTCACAGCTGATACTCCTCCACTTCCCTGAAGACATCATCTTTGGCTAGCAGGGTTACCTTACTGCCAACTTCTGCTAGCAGCATGACACATCCCCAACATGGGAAAATTTTTAACATTATGGATTTATTTTTAAAAAAATAATCTATTTTTTTAAAAAATATGCCTTCTTTTTAGTTAGTACAGAAGAACCATCAGTACCATCAGTATTCTCTGGGTATTTACAGTCACTCCCTATTTTCTAAGGGTTTAGGAGCTATGACCGTTACCTTCATTTGTAACCCACTGCTGTACATTGTGTGTGATACAGGAAATACTGCACACTACATCATCTTTAAAAAGTAATTCACTGAATTTAAATATATATAACAGCACTTACTATCAAGACCCACCATCTAATAACTAAGTAAACTACCTCATTGCATTTAAGAATACAATCCTAATGAATTTTCTTTCTTTAAAATTCTCTTCAATAGAAACAAAACCCGATGCAAAGTTACATCACGCTCCATACACAGATTTAACTTACACTCTCATTAGAGTTATCTGCAAAATTTAGAAAGAATCATCAGAAAGAATGAGAAATACAACTTTAATGAAATCTGCTTTGATTCTTTCTCCACCACTTTCTGTTCCCATTACAGTCACAAACAAGTCAATTAATCTTCCCACGCACTATTTCCCACCACAAAAACGTGTGTAGTTCTGCCTGCCTGTTTTACAGGAGCATTAGCAGCTTCAGACCATGCAAAGCTCATTCTAAACCACAGGTAAACAACCTCCAGTGCAAAGCTATCACATAATTGTAAAGTGTATGTTGTTAAAAGCAGTCAGCATCTTATGAAAAATTTCAAAATTAGTAAGAAAATGCATGCAATAATCTCCTTATTTGAAAAACTTTGTATCAGAAAAGCTCAGGAGAAAAGATTCCTGCCTTGCAAAGAGCTCACAAATGATGATTTTAAATTCCTGTGGGAATTCCTAGTGCCCTGCATTTCACAGGCCCAAACCATCCAGTAAAGTGCTTTCTGCACATGCTATATTCAGGTCTCATAAGCATTCAAGATTTATTCACTAAAGATGTGTGCCCATTTCTGTTCTCCCATTACTGCCAAAAACACCAGGGAAGAGAGGAGACTTGGATTCATGTGAAGTGGAACAGCAACAGATAATAAGTACATAGAACAGTTGTTTTCAGCAATCCTGGTTAATATTCTGTCCTTTAAGGTGGATAATCAGTTTCAAGAAACCAAACAGAACACAGAAAACCAAACTGTGAACAGAGTCATTGTAAAACTATGGGTATATTCACAAGGCAAATTCAGACAACTGGAACTGAAAAAGAAATTGAAAGCAAGAAAAAGTATGAAGCAAATCAAGTAAAAAAGCTGTCCACACATTCATGAATATCTAATGCACAAAAAACCCAGATATGGAAATCAGGGCACATGATATTCTAACATCTGATGGGAATATCTGGGGAGAGATTGGAGAAAGGAGGAACAATGCAAAAATTCTAAATCTCCCATATAAATTCAACTCTGAGCAATGTAAAAAGAAATTGTCTCACCTCAAGTTTATATGCCCTGTCCCTGCTGAGGGGCTCCAAAGGAAAACTCAGGTTATTCGCTTCTGCCAGGGAACGCAAATCAAAATAATACTTGGCATAAACACTGGAAGGGACATTAATATTGAACTGCAACAGCTCAAGAAACTGGCGTTCCAGCTCATTCCTGTAGAAAGAAGATAGATGTGAAAACATATTTCAGACTGTGCATTCTGAATGTAATTTACTTTAAATTGCAAATGGTAGAAACCAAGTTAATGTCTTATTCTTGCCAGACACAATTATGCCAGTTGAAGGTCCACTGAGCTCTATCGGTATACATATGCCATGAGGGATATGAAAGATGCTGCACTTTGCAGCTGCTCCTGAAATGTCAATCAAACCCAGACACAAACTTTTGCTAGCAGAAGGGCACCTTAACTTGCTTATCTAATGCAATCTGGGAGAGAAATGCTAGCAGGTAAAAAAAATGTCCTTGTGTTTCTGCTGTACTTCCACTAGGTGGATCTGTACACACAGCTATGCAAACACCACACACAGACATGCCCTACATTTGCCAGACATGTCTCATAAATGCTGCAAACTCTAACACCAAAATTGCTGGAAAACTTATTTACTCTCTTCAGCCTCTTGTAATCAATAATTTAAAACTAGTCATGGTATATCTGAAGTTTTCAGCATACTGTCTTATATTTCTTCATAAATTGAATGAAACATTTTTTTCCTTAGGTGAAATAAAAATTCACAGTGGTGATCATTTGTTTTTCAGTACCTATAACAAATGTGTTTGTCTAAATACCAGATAGGAACAAAGGCCCCATTTGAGCTCTCACCTTGGGATAAGTCTAGCATAGCAATACATTATTACCTACATCATTGTGTTAAAAACTACATTAAAAAATAAGTACATCAACAAAATTTCAAAAACTGCATGGTAACTAGATATCCTACATATGCAATGACATATGATATATTTAAAATGGTGATTTGAAGACATGAGAAAAAAATACATGAGTGGTGTACATGTTTGGTGAAAAGTGTATGGACTGCACAGCTATTTTATCAGCAGGTGTTGATTGACTAGGATATTGCATTTAAATTAAATTTTGACTGCAGTGTAAATGTGCAAGAAATGTGCAGGCACTTGGCAAAAGAAGAGGAAGAATCTGAGGATAAAAAGTACTGGTACAGTATTTTTCAAAGTAAAATACATTTTTTCTCACTTTTCACTCTTACATTATGATCATTCTCTTTCCTTACTTGCCAAAATTCCATGTTTACATCATAATAAATATTAATTAACATTAAAAGACTATTTGAAAGTATTCACAGCATTGAAGAGTCTAACTGAAAAAAATCCAAATTAAAAGCTCCTTTTTAAGACCTCTATCTATAAATACAGAAGATAATCTTTAAATGTCCTTTTATAATGCCAAGATTTTACTTTGTGCAAGCTAAGCAGAACATTACATAGCCTCAGGTTCTTATTCTCCTCTAGTTCCTAGATTTGAAGGTTAAACTAGCTGACTAAACTTCAGCTGAGAAAGAAGAAGAAAACAGAACAAAACCCTAAGAGGTATTTTGGATTTAAACTAAGGTAGTATAACTAGCCATCATACCCTCCTTCTACCTAATACATACATGAGACTGCTTAAGTATGTGCTTTCCTGTGGCCACTGCCCAAATTCACATGGAAACTCTAGGTGATGCTACATACATGACTACAGAGACAGGCTGCAGTTCAGTCCTCCCAAGGGTCTGTTAGCACAGTACTGCTGGTGGCTTCTACAACTCAGAAAGGTCTGCATAATGTTCTGCAAGATACCCTCATGCTGACTGATTCACAGAAGTTGAAGATTTTGACCTGCCATTTTTCTACTTTATTAATATAATAACTACTTGAAAAATAAGAAAGAAAATAAATCCACCATACTAGGGAGATAAGGGGAAAAACTGGAAAAACTGGCAGTTGGAACACAAACATCAGGTCATCAAGTACCAGAATCTTTGCTGGAGTATTTGCCAGGAGCCCCAAACACAAAGCTCATGAGTGAGATCACCAAGCACCATATAGAGAGCACAGGCTCCCCCAATGCCTCTGGTTTTGCAGTTTGCAAAAACCCTAAAATCTTTAAGAAAAGGTTAAGAAGCTTTAAGGACAAGGACTCTTCACAATTTGGCTTAGAGAATGTGCTGTGCAGAAAGCGGGCTGATGTGAGCATGGGAGAACAGCTCTGCCATGTGAGTAATGGTGTTACATAGCTCCAGTGCAACTTCTAACAGTAGCATCATCACATCTTTGTCAAAAACAATAACCTCTTTTTTTTATTTCCCCTCACACCATTACTGCATGCCTCATCACCTGCCTTACAAAAAACTTCAAAAATCAGCAATTTCAAAACCCCTATTTATAACCACTCCTGATAAATACTGTCACACAGCACAGTCAAACCTCTGCTTCAAGCTGCTCAGTATTCTACTTCAGCTCATTTCCCAGCTTCAGAAACACTTCAAAAGTTCCCAGAAGTGAATGGAGGGAGGCCCTTACTGCCATTGGAATTACTGAAAGCGTGAGAAAAGGAACAAGGAAAAAGCAGCTTAGCAAAATCATTCAGGAAACACTCAAAACAGACAGGGAAGCATTATCTAATTGTTCTGCATGAAATAATATTGCACACAAAAATGTGAAGGGCCTGATTTTAGCTTCTTGTCCACCTCACCCTCCCTTGTATTTTGGAAATCTCATTCTGTCTGGGTTGTGAGAAAAGAAGTATCATCAACCATCCCTAAAGTAGCTCACATATTTTAAGACAGACTCTGAATCAAGTGTTCTGTAGTATTCCCCACCTCTATTTTGAAACTGGAGGTTTCTTCAAAACTAATTAAAGTACCTACACTGTGCCACAGGAAGGCAAGTTTTGCATTTTTCACTTTGACTAAGGAAAAAAATCCACCTTCTTGCAAATTGCTTGTTAAAACAAGATTTAGAGATAGCTTTTCTAATATTTCAGCAATGACAGCTACTCACAATTTATAAGCTTTACCTAGCAGTGTATGAGTATGCTTAATTTAAAGCAATCAGCTGATCCTAACATTCAACCTTTCCTCTACAGATCATTTTTAGACCAGCTATAAATCTGACAAACAGCAAACTATTAAGAAACTAAATTAGGGCTTCTTTAGCAAAAACGTTTGCCCTTTCACTACTTTGAGATTGCAAACTGAGATTAAAAAATATTATGTCTGCATAAACACATTTTCATCTACTTCCCTCCTCCCAGAGTGCTTATCCATAACAAAGTCTTCAGTGGCTGCAATCCTGATTTAAGTGAGTTAAAGCACAGACAGGTCTCTATACTTCATTATAGATTCTTAGCTCTGCTTAAAAGAGCTTTGAAACACAACAATACTGGACATGTTTTTAATAATTTTATTGTTATTAGTTCTTATAAAAGGAGGAGTGTAACAGTAGACTGAAAAGGTCACTCTGAATGCACAAGCTGCAGTGACTTGTTAAGGCATCTCTCCCACCAGCAGCATTCCAGCCTCAATCCCACTGCAGCCTTTCCAACACCGCTCTGGTGCCTTGGAAAGCGTGTGTGGTATGGGACTCAGCCCTGAACACACAGATGATATAAACCCCAGGCACCTGAAGCCAATATATGTAATACCTGCTAACCAACCAAGCAAACAAAAGCACTCCACTGTTTGGTAGAATTATATTTCATGTTAGCATTTGCAAATATTAAGATCTTAATTCTGTTCATTCTTCCTATAGTTTATTTTATTAGTGTTGGCATATACTCTTAATATGCCTCAGGAGTATTCAGGCAGGTATCACAACTATCTATGTTGTAACAATATGAACTTCTTATTAATGCCATCAGATTAAAAAAATGGGAAAAAAAAGGAAAATTTTCTTTGCTAGTTAAAATACTAGACTTGTAACATATTGGAAATTAACTCAGCAGCATACAGGTGGGGCAAAACCCCTCAACAATCCAAAAGCACTGGTTCTGAATAATGTCAATAAATAAGTGGGTGATCATCTCAGGATCATTAGTATCACAATGATTTTTTTCCTGCCTTACATGTTGGTCTACTGTCTGTATGGAGAATCAGCTTACAAGAATACACTGAGCCTCACTGAATGTGGGATTCCTTGTCAGGTTATACATTTAAATATTCTGCAAGTCTGTTTTCATCACCATGCATGAATATCCAGTGGTAAATACAGTTTCACCAGAAAACAAAAAAATACTTAATGTCTTCTGTGTAAGCAACTGTTAAGTAGACCTCATGCCATCTATCAGCGTCACCATGTTTAGATAGAAAGCAGATATACAAACTAGATATAATTTATGAGAGAACTTCCTGCTGCACTCATACACCCAGTTCTTGGCATTCTTTGGCAAAAAAAACCATACTGCACTCACATGTCTTCGACAGTGATATCTTTCAGAATCTGGCAGTAATCCACGTTCCACACTGCCTGGTCGTCCCAAACTTTGGATGCCAGGAGAATCGCACCCAGTACAATTCGCTTCCAGTTTGCTGGACAGATATCTATCTCTGCATAAGTTAGAAGTCTTTCAAGATATACCTGTGGAAACATTAAAATCAAGACTAAATCTGTTTGCTATTAAGTAAAAATGAAAAAGAAAACTATTCTCACAAAGCTGTCCCAGCAATTTAAAAGGAGTAATCTGCTTTCAAGAGATTGTTTTATAAAACCTGTAGGTTTAAATACACACATTTACACCAAGACTGCATGTGACAAACTAGGATTTTAGTTGGTCTTTGCCTTCTGATCATATTACCAGAAACAAAACTGTTATTTTTTTATCTGTAACTGTTGCTAATATACTCACATCTTGGAATGAATTCAAATTCAAATATATTAAAATAATAACATAAATAAAATGCAAATTACTAAAGAGGAAAGCAAGGATATACTACCAGTAATAGTTGCTAACTATTTACTATTTACAGAGAGTACAGGATTATACACCCACATCTGATGAAGCAAGGGAGCCTGGAGGACTTTCTGAATACCTACCAAAATGATGCTGAGGGGAAGTGGGGGTGCAGCATGGTTCTCTATGTCCAAACACAGAGCTAGGTTGGGCCCTGCAACTGATGCTCCAGCCAGGGAGCTATGGGTGAATAAGTGAGGGAAAGGAGTAAGTCAAGATGCTCTGTCAATAGTTACCTGCTATTGATTAACAGCATCTCAATTACGTTAATAATAGCAGACTGATAAAGAACATGCCTTCTAAGAAACACTAGTTGTGAGTGATCTGTGTGGCCTCTCTATTCCCTGTTAGGGAAAAGGAAATTACAAGTGTGAATATTTACATGTGAAGTGAACAAAGGTAAATACTTCTGCAATTCACAACACTTGAACAGTTCATATATTAGTAGTCATAATACATCTCATTCAGTTTGACTAAGTTAATCTTTATTAGCACCTAACCAAATAACATCCAAAGAATAGCTAATATATATATAAAAATACAATCAAATAATAGCAGAAGACTAACAAATATATAAAAAACTCAAGGTAAGGTGCATGCTGGTAAGTATTTAAGAAGAAAGGGAAAGGGGAAACATGGGGGGGAAACTTCAAAACCCAGAACAACTGCCTCGCAAATTTTCTATAAGGATGTGCCCACACACAGTCCCTTCAGTGATCTGTGCTTCTCGAAAGGCCCAGCATTAGTAGAAAATATTATTCTATTAGTAATAAAATAAAATAAAAAATATATATATTGAAGTTAATTTATTTTTTAGTGTACAGTAACATCAAGGCCAATTACATCCTTCATATAGTTTTGTTCATTAATTTTCATAATTATGATAAGTAGAAGTAATTAGAATTTGGCAACAAGACCACTGAAAACAGTAGACAGCTGCTATATAATTCAACATTTTACAGAAATATATATTTTATAAAAAAATGTGAATATCTGAATACTTGTACTTAGATAATCAGCCCACAAAACTGTCTCATACACTCTGCAGTTTAAATGACACAATGAGCGAGAAATCATGGGAAACAAAAATAGAAACCAGACAATATTAGAGAACTTTTGTTCAGAGTACCATCACAAAGAGTAAGTTCTTTACTCTAACTGAAGGAAAATAAAGCTTGAGTTCCAGTGTCTGTAACGATCATCAATACACTCGTATAACAATGAATTAACATAAGTATACTATTTCATACAGACCACCTCTCTCAAGCAATGGATTTCTCAGTCCACTGTGAAGTTGTTCAAACAGGTTTCACTTCTAGCAATTATTTAAGGAAAATTAGATCCAGTCATTATTTAAGTTAGTAAATTCTACTCTGATTCAGAAGGAAACTTTTGTCACTGCAGTCACTAGCATCAAGGAAGTGAACTTGTTCTGCAGTTTCATTTCTCACCCATGAAACCACTTGCTGTGCACAAAGGAGCACAGAATGTGAAACTAGAGGTGCTTCAACATGACAGCAGACACATTTACTAAAACCAACAGTTAGTCTTGATATGCTGGTCTATAAAAATACAGGTTTGAGTTTACTGAAGAATAACCTATTATATGTATCTTGTAACAGATCTTACCATACCCTCATCACTGCATTGTGATAAAAACCAATTAAGGTGGTTATTTAGATTGCTCATACTCCTATAAGGCTCCACATTGACAGAAAATATTAGGAGATTTTATGAGATACTCTGATGAAAGTGCAATACAAATAGAAAATACCACACCTACCTCGAAGGCTGCATATTTTATGAAAACAGAACACTGCCTGGGATTCTGAAGGACCAGCATTTTGCTTTAAATTTTAAATAACTACAGATATTTTCTGACAGCTGTGAAGGAAATCTACATCTGCTCTAACAGAATAAATGCATGTCTGCTAAGAAAACTGAAAATCTCCTTTATAACACATTTTTTTTCCAATAATTTTGAAGTTTTTACTTAACAATTTAAAACAATTTTAAGAGGAATTATTACTGATTTATAGTTAATTAATAAATTCACAAAATATTTATCCCAAATTTTGGGGATATCTGTACGCTCAAATAAATATTGGACTCATTTTCAACAAGTAACAACAGCTAACTTATAAAAGGAGAATAGATACCAAATGGTAGCTGCATAGAAATCTTATTTGGAAAAGATGTTGTTAATACTAACAACATTGAAATAGTGTAAATGAATTTCTGAAATGATAAAATACTCAGTTGCAGTATGTTGGATATAAAATAAAAAGGACTGGTCAAACAAAAAATGAAAAAGTCTCAGACCTTTGGTTTTCTCCCCAAAAGGTTCTCTATTTTTCTTTTGTTAATGAGGTTACTTTTGTTAATTAGCCTTAATCATGGTTTAGACACTTTGTTGAAGTCAAGCTACATCATCAGGCACAAAGAGACAGGCATAATAAACATTCAAAAATGTCTTTGAAAACGAAGGTATACTGAGCTACGCAGTCACAATATTTACAGTATGAGACCCCACAGATGAAACTGTTTAATTTTCACTTTTTTTTGCTTTAAAAATAAGAAACATACAGGTAGCAGGATATCATAAAACTAAAGCTGAATTTTTCAAGAGGCAACATGCCAGACTCCTGAATACACCACTTCTTCAATGATTTGCCCCTGCCTGTCATTCTATTGCTGAAGAAAACCGTAACATTATCTTGTAATACAATATAAGAAAATATTACTAATTGTTAAAAAAATACTTATTTTATTTTCCTTCCTCCTTAAGTACAAAATTACCAATTTCAAAGTATGTGTCAAACCCATTATTAAAAACAGAGCTTTGACTTCTTAGTTATAACATCACTCTGAAAATATTTTCATGTATATAACTTCGTTTGGGGAGTTTTGCCTATTAAGGCTTTCCAAACGGTATATGAGACCAAAATAAACAGCACAGTTTAAATGCTCTGATAAACAAAACTTAAGTCCCTAAAAATAATCAAGAGGTTGCTTCAAGGCAAGGCTTCAAGACAGAAACTGAAAGAAGTGTGTAAGTGGGTGAAGCAGGTACAGTAGTGGAGATTCAAAAGACTCACCTCTCCTCTAAGTGCTCTTCTAAAATGACAGAAACACAAAGTTCAGTAAAAAGGTGGCACATGGATCTCACTAGAGTCTGCAATAGCTGATGGTTCTGTTTAAAAGGCTGGCTTTTGCTTTTCATGCAGCCTGTGTAAATAAACCCCTTACACACATTCAGTAGGAGTCTGATAAGACACTATTCTTATACCACCTTCACTACTATATTTCAGCATCTTCTAATAGCATTGTGGAGGATATGAATAATCACTTGAGTCCTTAGTGGTAACATGGGCTTAAATCCAGACATACAGTTTGCTGGAGTCAGTCTCTATCATCTTCTGAGAAAGCTAAAGATGATAAACACCTCACTAGGAGAAAGGTGCTTAGTGGGGCTTCTGCCTCCCTTCCTGAAAACACCTTAAAAGAGTGTTTTGTTCAGTGGCTCCATCTTAGCTTTAAAGTGTATGTGTTCAAGTAAACTAAGAGAGAAAAAGCACGAGATGACTTCATGCAGAAAACATTTGTAAAAGTTTATCAAAGTCATCAGCTAATATGAAAATTCACTGTAATCTAGGACTTGTTTCCCAAAGACAGGCCTATGCTGTCGCAGCAGTGCTGCTCTTCCAACTTTCAATCTAACACACGGTGTCTTTGTTTTAGCTCTTCTCTAGCTCTAGTTCAGAGAGAACCAGGTGACTCAGCAGACAGTGAAATTCAGGCAGAGCAAAGGCTGGCACGTATCTGAGCTCTCTCCTAACTGATGTAGAGTATCCTCACAACAGCACTATACACAAAGCCAAGTAAGCTGCCTCCTTTGGAAATGTGAGAAAGTGCATTATTCCTGAGAAATGGAGCTGTTAACCACTGTTTTTAATCTCAGAGCATTTCAGTATATTAGGCTCAGGACATAGTAAGAGCCCAAGCACTGAGATTTCTACTCTGATGGGACATAAGAGTGAAAAAGGTGAGGTGGAGCCTGCCGTGTGCCCAGCAGCCTGTCCGACTGAAGGGGGATGCTTCTGGCTGCTGCAAAGATGTGCTGAATCAGTGCAGACTTTTGGAGAAGGGCCAGGTGGCTCTCAGCCCATTTGAAAAGGGAGGTTTGGTGGGTGGTTCATCACTACAGTATTCATCCCAAACAAACTTGTGGCTGGTGGGAGAACACCACCTGCTTTTGCTGACAAAAGCAAGCAAGTCTTCCCACATGCAGGCAGGCACACTCCACCTCCTTAAAAAAAAAATTAAAAAAATTACCTGTAATCATAAATGTGACATATGGAAATGCCATTTGTATGTAATCATGCCTATACATTGAATCATTTCTTAAACATGGGTCATTTTCTTAAATAAATCTTGAGATTTTATGTGTTACTATGTAGTTTAGTATATTTGTACACTGCAACAAATTTCATTGGCTTAATTTTAAAAAACAAAAGACTTTTAAAATTTTCTTTAGCACTAGCTGCTGCAAAGTCATTGAATAAAGCTGAATTTTAAGAAGCTCACTGTAGAAAAGAATACTGTAATTTGCATTTCAGAATACTGG